GAGGCACCAGGGACCCAGCCGTGACACTGGCCAGTGTCCCACCAAGCACATTCTTTGCTCTCCATCCCGTGACCCCATGGTATGGGTGATACCTAAATACTCATGTGGCCCCTTTCTTTTGTACCCTTCCAGGCTCTGCTTTCTCCTCAGAGGCCAAGCCAAAGCTGCCCGGGATGAAGGTCCTCCTTCTGCTCCTTCTCTCCCCGCTCCAAGGTAGGCTGTCGCCAGCCATGTCCTGCCCTGGGCCTGTGGGCCAGGTTTGGGCTGCTGGATGTAATTGGCAGCCCGAAAAAATTGGCTGGGGGGCACCAAGGGGTGTTTGCAGCCATGGCTTCCACAGAGGTGAAATGTCTCATGGACTGACGTGCCTCTGGTGGGGTCTGCGGGGCAGGATGAGTCTTTTCCAGAGTAAGGAGATGGTCTCCATCCATCCCTTTTGGAGATGGAGAGCTCCTCTGTCAGTCTCTGCTGATGCACGTGCAAGACATGGGAAGTCCTGCCACCCCAGGAGCCTCTGCTCCCCAGCAAACCCTCCCAGCATGGCCACGGGGATGTCAGGGAGGTGGCCGACGTCATGCAGCCCATCCAGGACGGGGTCGAGATGTCTGGGGCAGAGACCCTGGCGTGCCACATGTGACAGCTGCTGTGGGGGTGTGGTGTTTGCTGGGGGTGGCTGCCCCTCCAGCTAAACTGGCGTCTCCGTGTGCTTCTGCAACGCAGGGGTGGGAGCCAATGGCCACTGGGAAGAGGACTTCCGCTTCTGCGGTGACCGAAACCAGACCCAGAACAGCTCTGTCATCTACGAGGATAGCCCTGACACCATCTCCATCGAGAACACGGTCCAGGCACTGATAATAAAAACGCCCTTTTTGCCAAGCAGGAGAAACTCTTCCTACAAGTACAGCTTGCCCCCTGCTTTAGGCAGGTACCGCTTCTGCATCTACTGGTTCAAGGCCAACAGGACCCTAAGGCTGGCGTATGGGAAGCAGAGCTTCCTCCTGGGTGGGGACCCATCCAGCAGCATTACCCGGGGGAAGGAGACTCAGAAGACTGAAAGAACCAGCACCTCCATCTTCAACGTGTCCTACATCTCAAGGGGCGGGAAGAACACCTCTGCTGACAGTGCATCTGAATACTCCTTCCCTGGTAAAGGCAATTCAACGTTACTTTAATGAAATAAAGGGTTCATTTAATCCCCAGCCCATTCTTTAGCCATCAGCAGAGCATTGGTGGTGTCCCAGTATGTGCTACAGCATGATTATGTGAAGACACAGCTGAAGGGTGATGAAAGGGGACACAGGTTTGCTTGAAGCAGCCCCAGGGCAGTCCCTGGTACCCAGGCTCCCTAAAGATGAAGATGGAGATTTTCAAGTGTTTTACCCCCTAAAATCCTGGGAAATCATGGGCTTAGTAGAGGTCTCCAAGGGTCCCGTCTGCACTGCTAGGCACCTAGCTAGCCTCAGCCAGCCTGGTCCTGATGGTCTTGGTGGGAGCCGAGCTCCAGGTGGCAGGAGAAGCCCTCTGGGTTGGGGTCTCCATCAGCTCCCCGGGCTTGAGGTCACCTTGAAGCCCTCTGCTTTCTGCTCCCACCAGAGCTGTGCCCACTTGGTTCAGGGCATAGGGAAGCCTATGCACATGCTCTGCCTGTGCATCTCACAGCGTTTCCTTTCATGTGCCTGTCAGCCTTTCCAGAGAGCATGCCCGTCTGGGAGCAAGATGTGGAGGACCAGCTCACCGCCTTGGACAGCCTCATTGCCCAGCCCTCAGTGCTGGCCACAGGAGCCACGGAGCAGCAGATGCTTCGGCGGTGAGTTCCTGGCTTGTGCTGTTCCCACTGCCACTGGTGCAGTGCCCACTGCATCCTGCTCACTGCACCCCTTCCCCGACAGCAAACTTGGGGAGCTGGAGAAGATGCTGGCCAAGGTGGAGCTCAAAGGGCAGAATCAGACCTTTGGAAAGGCCACTGTGCACGCAACTGTCCTGAGGGTCCAGCCCACTCGGGCTCCTCGGCACCTGGCCTTTGCTTCCCAAAGAGAGGTGGGTCCTGGGGAGTCTGCCCTGGTGGTCTTGGTCCACCAGCACCCTTTCCCAACCTCTCTCCTGATGAGTCTGTCCTTGCAGGAGGGTGGAGAGGTCCATGGGTTCGCGGTGGACCTGCCAAGCAGCCTGTTCGTGACGGCGAATGAGAGGGAGGAGGTGGTGGAGCACAGGGTGCTCCTCATGGACATCAACAGCCAGACCATGTTCCAGGTAATGCCCACAGGCATGGCATGGTGGGCTGTGCCTGCTGTGCCAGGGGCTCCGGCGGTACAGGGCAGCAGGGATGCTGCCCAGACCAGGGTGCTGGTGCTCACTCGGAGAAGATGCTTCAAAGATGAGCTAGAAGCTTGATGGGGAAAGAGGCATGGGACCTCCTTCTTGGGGACTCTCACCAGCTTCATGCCCAGCAGCAATCCCTTCCCATACTGCCATTGCCTCCTCTTCTTCCACAGGATGAAAACAGCAGCCACATCCTGGGTGACAAGGTGATCAGCATCTCCCTAGTGGACATGGTGGTGGCCAACCTCTCCGATCCAGTGGTCCTCACTTTCTTCCATGACCAGCTGCCGGTAGGTGGGGAAACAGCCTCATTGAACCTGGTCCCACCAGGAATGGCGGGGCAAGGAGGGCTCAGGCCCTGCCAGCTTAGAGAGTGGTCACAGTCCAGCAGGTCCATGCCCTTGGCCTGCTTGTACAGCGTCTGCTACGTCTTCCAGAGCTGTATGATGATCATGGCTTCACCGTGCACTGGTGGTGGCGCTGCCTGGTCCTGTCCAGGAGATGCTTCTTTGCAGATGTGTCGCCTCCAGCACGATCTCCAGGGCTGGGGGACCCTTTGAGTTAACAATCCCTTGGCTCATTCATGGCCCTGTCAGGTACCTGCTCAAAGGCGAACCCCTTGTTTGAAAAAAGGGGTCCTGGGAGCAAGTATCTGCTCTGTTGAGCTGCCAAGAAAATGGTCTCTGCCTGGAGCCTACTCCCATGATATGGGATGGTTTGTCTCCTGAGACCATCTCGCCTCCTGCCCCATGTTCTTCCCTATCAAATGTGCTGGCTGGGCAACAAATCCACAGCTGCATCCTGATCAGGGCCCATGGTTTTGTCATTGCAGAGGAATGTGACCCCACTGTGCGTCTTCTGGCAGGAGGACACCACTGGTGAGTGCTCCTGCACTTGGGTGTGAAGCCAGGTGCTGCCTTTGCTCCTTTTGCAGGGTACCACAGACATGCTGGTAGGAGTAAAAGTCGCTCTGCACCTCCCTTCCTCGCTGCAGCTCCATAAACCTTTCCCATGGGGTTGATTTCAGGTTCTCCCCTCCGTAGCTAACCAAAGAGCTTTCTCCCTCCCTAGGGATGGGTCCTGGTGCTGAGGGTGCTATCTGAGTGTGTGTGCTTGGCATGGGACAAGCTGGGACCCCCACTTTTGTCCTCCCCCCTGCCGTGGACACCTTGCCCTGAAAATCCACAAACCCGAAGCAGATGTTCCTGCTGCTCACCAGATGCTCTCCCTTTCTCTTGCGCAGCCAGCTCTGGGAGCTGGGACAGCTATGGTTGTACAACGGTGACGGCGGGCAGCCAGACGGACTGCAGATGCAACCACCTCACCTACTTTGCCGTGCTGATGGTGGGTAGCGCCTTCCTGCAGCTCTCTGCATTGTTCCCACTGGCTGTTTTTCCTCACCATCTCTTGTTCCTCCTTCTCCTCAGGTATCTTCTCCGGAGATCACCTATGTACACAGGGATTACCTGAGTATCATAACCTACATCGGCTGCCTGATCTCAGCTTTAGCATCCATTTGCACTATCTTCTTCCTCTACTTCAGGTATGGTCTGACAGGTCACCTCACGCTCCCCGTCTGTGTCCTGTCCATTGCCACTACACCCGGGTGGGTGCAAGATCTCCAAACACAGTTAGTGGCCTGGCTAGAAGCATGATGAAGGAGCCATGCTTGAAGAAAGCAGAATTCTCCTCTCCAGAAACCACCGCCTTGGTCAGGTCTCCCACAGGGCACGCAAAAACACCAGCTGTTTCCAATGATTTTGGAAAATCAGCTTGGTGTTTGTTATGGATCCAGCAAGCAGAAGCCTGCAAAGATCTTTTCAAGGGCCCAGTGGAGAACATGAGTGTGTTTTCCTGAGTCATGTCATTGATCCTACATGGATGATTCAGAGCTGAAATGATGTCGCTGCCTACCCCCCATGGCCAAGACCTGAAATGCAGGGTCAGCTGCAGGGACCTGAATTTGCACATGTAACGGGTGGTCCCACCTGTGGGGTTAGGCTCTCAGCCCCTGACACCACCAGAGGGTCTCCTGGCTCTTCTGGCAGGGGCAGGTTGCCCCATGCAGAGCTGTGGGGTGTTGTGGGACACCAAGGATGCTGGCCAGGCACGGTGGTGAGGTCTCCCCACTCCTCGCTTCTCCAGAAGCAAGCAGCGAGACCAGATCACGAGCATGCACATCCACATGAACCTGCTGGGCGCCATCTTCCTCCTGGATGTCACCTTCCTCATCTCCGAGCACTTGGCTTCCAGCAGCAGCGAGGCAGTCTGCAGAGCCGGGGGGCTGTTCCTGCACTTCTCCCTCCTGAGCTGCCTCGCCTGGATGGGCATTGAGGGCTACAACCTCTACCGGCTTGTGATCGAAGTCTTCAATGCCTACCATGACCACTTCCTCCTCAAGCTCTGCCTGGTGGGCTGGGGTGAGCATGGGGGAGGCAGAGATGCCGTTGAGGGCATGGGCAACGGGAGTGGAGGGGCACCCAAATAGGTCTTTCCCACCATCTATGGTACCTGGATGGGGACGGAGATGTAGCTGTGGGGGAGCAGATGTCTGAGAGCAGAGGGATCTCTGTTGAGGGGCTTGGTGGAGAAGGAGACTTAGTGGCTGAGAGCAGAAGCTGGTGCTAGAGCAAGGGTGGGTCACCCTGGGGGTCACCCAGCAAGGGAGGGATGTGAGAGCCACTGCTTGGAGTCTTTAAATAGTAATGGGATCCTCTCTTTCTGAAAGAAGCATCCAGGACAGCCCAGAGAGATGGGCTTGATGCAGGAAGCACCCATGCATCTCTGCCATGCTTTGGGCTGGAGGCCATGGTAGGAAGATCTCATGATCATTTGTGGCCTAAAATTCCACAGCCCTAGGAAACCCCTGGCTGGGGTTGGTGCAGCACAGCTCAGTCCTGGGCTGGGGCTTTCGCCAGGCGTCTTCGTTGCACGCTCCATCCTTGGTTCCCCCTTGGGAGGGAGGATGTTGGTTTGTAACTCTATATGGGGAGAAAGGGGCAACAAATGCTTCCAGAAGGACCGAGGCACAGGGACTAGGGTGGCTGCTTCACTCTGTTCTTGCCACCCAGGACTTCCCTTCTTCTGCGTGACACTGATCTTCCTGATTAGCTGGACGAACTACGGCCCCTTCTCCATTCCTGTCTATGAATCTGTTGGTGGCAAATCCACCAACGCAACCATGTAAGTCATGGGAAATGGGTTGCTTGGTCCCTAGTCTTAGACAAAGTCAACTGGCTAAACCTTCACTGTGTCCTACAGACTTTCCTTAGCCCACCTGTGGCTTTTCTGGGGCTTTGTGCAGGGTGGTGGTGGGGGATCCTCCCTTCCTGTTTAACTAAGCTGGGTGCTGAGTTTGCACCACACCTTTGTGCTTCCCTCAGCCCCTCCAACTCATGTCCCTGTGGGATGACATAGCATAACCCTCTGCCCTTTCTCCTCCTTCCAGATGCTGGATCACAAGCCCCCTGATCCATAATGTCGTGAACCTGGGTTTGTTCAGCCTGGTGTTCCTCTTTAACTCGGTCATGCTGGGGGCCATGATCCGGGAGATCCTCCGGCAGAACAAGAAAGGCCACAAGCTCAAGCATGTCCTAGCCCTCTTTGGGCTGAGCATCCTGCTGGGCATCCCCTGGGCACTGGTCTTCTTCTCCTTCACCTCCGGTGTCTTCCGCCTTGTCTCCCTCTACATCTTCACCATCATCAACTCCCTCCAAGGTGAGCCTGGGATGCCAGGCTACTCCAAAGGGCACCAGGGGTTTCATGGGGTATTGGTGGGGTATTGGTGGGGTGGTGATGGGGTGTGAGAGGAGCCGTCCCTGGCAGGCTGGCTGGCTCGCTCTCAACTGCTGTTGGTCCTTAGAGGGGGTTCACCCGCCCTTCTTTCCCTTTGGGTGTCAGTCTCTTTTCCCAAGTGATAGGATGAGAGGAAACGGCCTCAAGTTGTGCTAGGGAGGTTTAGATTGGATATTAGGAAAAATGTCTTCACTGAAAGGGTGGTCAAGCATTGGAACAGGCTGCCCAGGGAAGTGGTTGAGTCTCCATCCCTGGAGGTATTTAAAGAACGGATAGATGTGGTGCTCGAGGACATGGTATAGATGGACTTGGCAGTGTTAGGTTTACGGTTGGAGTGGATGATCTTAAAGGCCTTTTGCAATCTAAATGATTCTATGACAGGACATCGAGGTGCTGGAGCGTGTCCAGAGGAGGGCAATGAAGCTGGTGAAGGGTCTGGAGCACAAGTCTTATGAGGAGCGGCTGAGGGAGCTGGGGTTGTTTAGTCTGGAGAAGAGGAGGCTGAGG